AATTTTGGCACACACATATAGACACACATATATAGATGCTTTTTTGCCCAAAGAACATGGATGAGGAATAGTTCTCCCTGGGAGCAACCTGAGACACGGCCTTTAAGCGAAGAGCGGAGGTGGGGATGACCCGTGGCTGGACTCGGAGGAGCGGGTGGGGCACTTGGAAGCGACCGAGGCAGAAGCGAAGGGAACCTTGGGAGAGGTGTCCTTTTTGGTTGTTTGGCTCGAAAATTAGATGGGCTTCGTTGGTAGGGGAACTTGGCGGCCAAAAGCTTTGGTGGTGGGTAGGAAAAATAGCATGGGTTTCGATTCCTGGTTTACCTGGTGGTTTCATCATCTACCAGGGACACCCATCTATTTCTCCTAAAAGGACACCCATGCTTGGGGGTCCTTTTTGCTGGGTTTGAAAGTCAGCACAAGCCATCCTTTTGACAACCTCTCACTTGTTCGAAGCATTCATGCTTATAGTTCCAAATCATCCGCAACGAACGCTGGGGGTTTGATTTGGATTTTGACCCATGGCCATTGGCCACTTCGGGGCAATCCGAATGACGTGGAAATTGAGCGGAGCTTCTTATCATTTTGCCCGCGTAGCTTTGGCTTCGCAGGCGCTCTTCGCAGGCTGTGTTGAAGAAAGGCCGCTGAAAGATGTTGGAGTCATATCAAGCTAGGGTCGGAATGCATTCTCAGGCACGCGCGCGCGCGCGGAATTGAGCTAGGCACGTTGTTCTCATTGCCTGTTGCAGTTGAGGGATGCTTGAACAGGTTGGCCACCGGGGTGCAGCAAAGCGTTCAGTTGCATCAAGGCTTCGCAGTTGCTGAATTGGCACTTCCTGGTCGCTGACCCTCAGTGAACATCCCAATCCCCACAAAAACAGGTTCTAAAATGGGTGGTGCACCTACCCCAAAATGGGATCCCGTAGGTTTTGACCCACAGCCATATGATAAGGCTCTTTGCTCAACTGCATTGCCAAAATTGATGACAGGACATGGCCCCAAACCACCCAAAGTCAGCAGTGTTTTGTAGAACTTCCTGTAACCCAGCCAATTGAACAGGGCTCCAAAAAGATACATTTTGCCCGGTTGAAACATGGCTTTTTCCACCAAAATGAAGGGACACCACCATTTACAAGGCAATGTTCAGGTGTATAATGTAAGGATTCCTGTTGAACATTCGCAGCTTCAGCACGGCTGCCTCGCTCGGCTTTGCCAGGTTTCCGCATTTTTTCCTCTTTGGGTCGAAGGTTCTCGCAGCCAAACCAAGCTTGTTGCTGAAATGAAAGTGCGATGCCGGATTTCGCCAACATCTTGTTCTGAAGAGTTTGTTATCCCTTGCAGGGGTTTACAGGGGTTATCTGGAGTTAGCTGAACGGGTTGCAACATGTCCAAAGCTTTAGAGGGGGTTCAGTGGTGGTTTAGTGCCATAGGTCTTTCTTTGTGCCCTCGGCTGCATAATTCAATCGGGAAATGAAGCAGTAGCCCCGGCGAGTCGCTGGATTTCAGTCACGGACAAAACTTCCCGACAATCCACGCTGTCTATTGAATCTTACTTCAAGGCATGCTTCGCTTGAAACTGATGGGATTTCTTTGGAGGCGGTGGATTATGTTTATCCAGGAGTCAAGTATCAGAATAACACCCATCAAAGGTAAGCATTTGCAGCCCATTCTTCCAAAGGTTTCAGGAAATTTGGGGATGTGTCAAAATAGGGGGACCCCCCAAACATATATATATATATATAGATACATATATATATAGATACATATATATATATATACATATATGTATACATATATATGTATATATACATACATATATATATATATATATATATCTACGGAGAGAGTGTGCCCGAGGTTGGGAGAGGAATTGCAGTCCCTTTTGTTTCATGTCACTTGAGGTGAACTCCAAAGGCCACGATTTCAGCTTCGGGGAAACCCCCTCAACCTATACAGGTTGGTTGTTATATATATAGAATATATAATATATATATATATACACTATATATATACACCAACACATACATATATGTATACATATACACATGGTTGGTTGTCCTTTGGTTTCCCTTCAAGCCAACCTGAAAAGGGAACCCTCAAAACACACGTGCTTACACCCATGTCTGTCCACGTCTTGCGCCACGCATCCCTAGGGCCTTCCGGATTGGGACAAATTGGAGGGGATCCTCACCGAGCCCAATCTGGAGTCACTGCAGGAAGAGGCCGAGTGAATCGCTTTGGTTGTACTTTGGTGTGTCCTTTAGCTGTGTACCCTTTGCAAAATGACTATTTCCTTCTAAGAAGCAAACGCCAACTTTTCACAGGGAGTCTAAGACTAGCCTAGGCATGTCTTGCCCGCTACGAAAACGCTGCAAACAACAACAGCAAGGATTTATTGCTCGGGCCGCATTTGTTTGGGGCGTGCAGGGTATGTGTTGAACTAGGGTCTTGTTGTTTGGTTCATGTTTATGGGTCAACAACTAGGCTGCCGCAATTTCCGCTTGTCCCACGGGTTGCTGCCGCGATTTCTCTGGAGTTTACGGTCATGGAAAAGCCATGGCGCAAAAACTGCGAGCTTAGCTTCATACTTTGGGCAATGGTCAATATCCAAGGATGATTCCTTCCAGTAGCCGTATGCTCAAAGGTATGAGGGTTCTTGGAGACACATATTCACAGAGCCACAAACACCTAAGCCGCAGGAGCGTCCCAAAGATCGGTGTGCATCTCCGCCCGTTTCATTCTGAAGGTTTTGGTGCCGGAGGTTTGGGTTTTGCTTGTGAACTCATGTCTTGGTTCAGCTCCGGAGCCGGAAGCCGAGCGCGACTCGTGACGAGCGATGGGAGAAGCCGTCAGTATTGCATAAATTCGCAAGAATATTCGAAAATAAATTCTCGAAAAGTTCGATAGAACCCCGCAAGAATTTCTAGAAGGAGAAGTTCATTCCAAGAAAGCCCTCAACCCTCCAAGGGTCCATACCTGAAATGCCCTTGTGTGGGCGTTGCTGCAACTTGGGGTTTCCAACCACCCTCCAATGGTCCATGAATAAAAAGCCCTTGCGCCATTTTGGGTAGTTGGACAACCTAGGCTGAACCTGGGGCTTCCTGTGGGACGTCGCTGGTTGCGCGCGAGCGATGGGACTTGGTGCCTGCCAGCCATCCCCTTAGCTTCTTAGCCTTTTAGTGTTTAGTGGTAGTTTCCAGTAAACCCACTAAAAGTCAGGGGGGTCTTTTTGCCGCCTTTTGAAAGAAAATGGGCGACCCCCCTAAAAAGGAATCCATCACTACGAGGGGGTCGAAGAATTGTCCACCAAAGGCGGCAAGACGACAATCTCGCTAACAGTTCGTCACTTTCAGCGGATCTGAAAACGGGCGGCCCAGGAACATCGAGATCTCGGGGCTCGAAGTTCGAAGCGCTTCGCGGCGCATTGCGGGTCGCAGGCCGACGCCTTTCTGGCGGAGGCCTCGAAGCCGGCGTCCAGGCCGACGCCCCTGTGTCTGTCCAAGGCTCTGAGGGCGGGCTGAGGGCTGAGGGCGGTGGGTGGGGGAGGGGGTGGAGTGGGGAGGGGGTGAGGCTTTGGGGGCGAAAAACATGGAGGGAAGCTCTGTAGAATCCACCGAACTGTGCTTGCTGGATTTTTTTTTTCTTCTCAAGATGGCTCTCGTTTGGTACTGTGGATTTGGGGAGTAGAAAGCCATGGACCTAGAACATTGAAGGCTACAATTTGGACGGTAGGGCTAATGTAGCTTTGGACCAAACAGCCGGTGTTCTCAGCCCCTTCAAAGAAAGAGGACCAAGCAAAAGCTGGAACAAACTCATGTTCAAGCTACAAACAACTGATGCTCAGAGTCACCAGCTATTTCGGGGTATGTACCTTCGATGGGTCCCTGTAGGACCGTTGAATTCGAAATCAAAGAAGGCAGGCAGGCAGGCAGGCAGGCAGGCAGGCAGGCAGGCAGGCAGGCAGGCAGGCAGGCAGGCAGGCAGGCAGGCAGACAGACAAAACACGCAAACAAACAAACAATCAATCAATCCACCGTGGCTCGATGACTTTTGTTTTCTTGGTTTGTTTGCTTGTTCCTACGTTTCATCGGCCGGGCAAACAGCCGGGCAAGAAGCAGGCCGAGCGGGACGCGGATCGAGCTGCGCCGGACAGCGGCAGCTTTGCGCCCAGGGGGCGGCGTCCGAAGCCAGGCCGGGGCTGCGGACTTGTCAGGGCTCCTTAACAGATCTCCATTTCGCCCAGTTGAAACATGGCTCTTTTGTTCCCCCCAAATAAAGGGAAGCCACCATTTACAAGTTGCAATGCTCAGGTGTAGAATGCATCCGGATCCCTGCTTGTCTTGTGGTGCTTGGTCTTCTTGTGTCCCTTTGTTTTGGGCTTGCTTTCGGCGGATGTATTTGGACCCTTTGTGTGTGTTCCTTTTTTCTCTTTCCTTTTTTCTCGGGGGGTAGGCGGGAATTGTTTTGGAGTCACGCCCGGCGAAGCCACCGTGGATTCGCCTGGCTTGAGGTTCGGGGGCTTGGGAGCGATTTTGTGGTGACCTACTTGTTTACCTGGATCTCCTGGAAGTTAATAATTCCTACTCCAGCATGGAAGAAAGTACTTTTTTCTTTTTGGAGTCGGAATTATTAGCTTTCAAGAGATGCAGGTAAGATCAAGCTTTCATCTCTTTTGCCAGATGGTAGTGTACCAGTAGAGCCGGCAGAGCCGGTGGGCGGAAGTCTCTAAAGCGAGAAAAGTGCTGAAATAGGAAGAGCTTGACTTGCTTTTTTTTTTTGCTTTTTGTCGTTGTTTGTCTCTTTCTCTTTCTTTCTTTCTTTCTTTCTTTCTTTCTTTCTTTCTTTCTTTCTTTCTTTCTTTCTTTCTTTCTTTCTTTCTTTCTATCTATCTATCTATCTATCTATCTATCTATCTATCTATCTATCTATCTGCGCCTGACCTTGCGAAAGTGCCGCGCCTGCCATGAAACCTGTACTTGACCTTGCGAACGTGCTGCGCCTGCCACGAAATCTGTACCCGACCTTGCACGGGCACAAAATGCTGCGCCTGCCACGAAATCTGCACCTTAGGCTGCCAAAGTGCTGCGCCTGCCACGCAAATTTGACCTCCGAAAACGTCTGCGCGAGCATTACAGTGGGCAACATTCCGAGCCCGTGGCGAGACCGTGGCGAGACCGTGGCGAGACCGTGGCGAGACCGTGGCGAGACCGTGGCGAGACCGCAGGCTGAACAGGGGTACCCTTCGCGTGTTTCGCATGTCTGACGCTACTTTTCGTATTACGGAAGTTTTCTAACTAAACTTCCTTTGATGATACCACCTCTGGTAGCTTTTTGGTGGCTACCTTGAGTACTTCTTTGCCTTAGCAAGGTCCCTGTCAAGGGGGTGGGGGAGGGGGGTACCCCTCAAATGTTAGATATGTCCCCCTCGACTCCTCCGCCCTCTGGTCTTCCTCTCTTGTTTGGTGGACCCTTAATTTTGCGAGGTATATTTGTTTTGATAATTTGCAGCTCTTTCTGCGATTGAACTCACGTCGTTTTAATAATTGGTAGCCTCTTTCTGCGATTGAACTCATGTCAAAATCGTTCATGACTCGAGTGCAAGTGGTGCAGAGAAAGCGCGGATTCTGATTTTGATTCCATGCAGGCCCGTGGCAACCGACAAACTAACTGCCCCAAACGCGAAAAAACTTCGCTCGAAACTGCGGCCGTGCCACCCTGCCGAGACACAACTCGGACTTCTTTCAATCCAGTCGCATCATGTTGCCTTCCAAACAAGGGCCCCACGCACCAGAATGTCCAGCATTCTTTCTCGCCCTGAACCAGGTTTGTCCCTTCATGGCCTGCTGTTGCCCATTTCTCTGAGGCCTTTTGGATGAAGCTACCTTTCGTGTCCCCTTCCGCTCAAGTTGTTTTCCATTGCAGCATCGGATGACTCGCAGCAATGGACGCCCAAAATCCGGGCATTGCCCATTTTAGTCGGTTCCGCGCCTCAGTTTAGTTCCTTAGAGGGGATGGTGCTTCGGGTTGGTTGGATGGTCCACATCTTTGGGGAGTTTGGACATGAGGGTCATGGGCCACATTGGCTACAAGAGACCATGGCACAAAAACGAGCCTTTACTACCATGGATCTGCAGAATGCTTTCGTCTGCGCGAACTCCAAGCACTACTGCGTTTCCACATCTTTAGTCGACATGCTGGGACCTTTTGCGAGACGGGCTGGCCTTATTGCAGGCCCCTCGCCCGTTTTGACTTCCGCCAAGCAACTCATTCCGTCAACACTGCAAAGGGGATGACGTGGGGAACACTCACCAAATTGCCACTTGAACCACGTCCTCAACACCCGGGTAGATGAATGTTAGGAAGGGATACTCCCAGCCATAAATAGCTGCGGATATCCGCCTTCTTAATCTTGAAGCATGGCTCTGGGATTACGACCATTTTGATACCGGGTTTTGATTATGACTCGCTTGGACATGGGGGGATTACTCACCAAAATCCAAGGTGAAGGCAGGATATAATATTGGCCTAAGCTGATGTGCTCATGTGGTCACACTGGCCCCTTGAACTGCACTAAAGAAGGTTCATTCAAATGATGGCCTTCTCAAACAATTTGGCGGCACAAGGTTATGGTCTAAGGGCCCCCGAACTTTTGACAACGCATGTGTTCATGTCCAGCTTTGTAGGACCGGATGCTGGAGACCCTGCGAAAGCATTCGGTGGAAGGCGCTGGGAGGGTGGAGGGGTTGCAGCGCGGCGTGTCCGACGGCCCACGTTGGACACTTGGCGCGACTGCTTTCAATCGTGCACAACTCAAATTCAGGTCTGATCAACATTTTCTCGGTCTTGCTTGCAAGTTGTGTTGTTGAGTGCCGGTAGAGCGAATGTTCACTTGCTTGAACTCCGAGATGTTTGTGTTTTTCCCCTGCGCTGTTCCTCCCAGTGGCTAAATGCACGTGTTTGGTGCATGGCATGCTTTTTCCCAGTGAGGTTCTCAGATCCTGCGAGAAGTTGTCGGATTCGTTGCTGGATTCAAGTTCAGGCGCTTGCCGGCACAGAGCCCGTTCTACTCCTGCGACCCCTCGCTGCTGTTGAAGGCGGCGGCTTTCCGGGTTCGGCCCCAGGTTGCCCCCGGCAGGTTGCAATTCGGGTTTCCCTCTCGAAAGATACCCTCCCTCCAATCACGGAAGCTGATGGAAGCTAGGGATCTGGAAAACCATTCTTTCCTTCCTGGGGAAAGCGCCTCTGTCCACTCGTATGGTTGTTGGAAAGAGCGTCACGGTTGTTGGGTTCCATGAAAAGCTCCGCCTCGATGAGCTGAAAACATGTCCGTTGACTTTAGACAAGGACTCCTGTGAAAGGCACCACGGCCTGGGAGAGCGGGTGTGTTTTTGAGGGTACCCTTTTCAGGGGAAACCCAACAAAACACCGCCCATTTTGGGGGTTGACACATTTATGGCGATCCCCAAGTAGCTGGGGCTCTCAGAGCTGTGTGCGAAACTGGAGACATAGAGCTTGGACTTGCCAACGCCCTCAAGACCTTCTCGTTTCTCCGGGCGGAATTGCAGTGAGGAGGTTCGGGCAAGCAGTTTGACACGTGACACTTCAGGGATTGGGTCCAAGACACAGTGGGTGGTGATCATTTGGATCCACCCCTACTGGTCTTCCAAATTGTTGTAGGTTCCCTGGCTGCTATTGGGTTGGATCTTTAGACTTTCACTTTTTGGGAAATCAAGGGGTTTTCCACTCAACCTACAAAAAGTTAAACTTTTTGCAGAGGGGTCTCGCCAGCAACCAAGGTTTTCCAAAGGGTTGGTTTTCCTTCGGGCAGCTTAGGTCGCAAAGGCGCAGCTGCCCAACCTGGACTCTCTGGCTTCTTCGCATGCACGAAGCGGATTGGGGTGCCAATTTTAGGCTTCTGGGCATAGGTGTCCTTTTTAGCTTAGTTTGATTTAAAAATAGATGGCACTGGTTTAAATGGGGTTTCTTCTATTTACCTCAGGGCCATCTATTTTTCCAAAAGGCCACCTATGCTTCTGGGTTGACCCAAAGGGGAAGGACTTGAGAACTCAAATTTTTCGGTTGGGTCGCCCAATTTTTCTATTTGACATACCAAGTATTAGTCAACACGATGGACCTTGTTTCCACAGAACGAGGGATGCCTTTGATGTTTGGGGGCAGGGTTCCACATTTTGATTTCCCCAACATAGACTTTAAACTCAGGGGTTCTCCTTTTGGGGGGAATGAACCACCCTGGGTTTGAGTCTATCTTGGGGTAGTCGAAAAGTGGACCCTGTTTGGGGGTTGCCCTGAAACATGGGGGGGTACCATTGGTTGAAAACCACTAAAAAGACTTGACATTTCAATCAATAGATGAGAAATGTATGAGAAATGTAAGCTATGGTCATTTGGCTGTGGGTCAAAACCAATGGTACCATTTCGGGGTAGGTGCACCACCCATTTGAGTCTATTTTAGTGGGGATTGAGATGTTCACTGGCGGGTACGGGCTTTTGACCCATGGCCATTTGGGGGCCAAAGGGAATATTGATCAGCCCCCATTTTTCACCCTCCCCCCGAAGAGTGCCTGGCAAATAGGCAACGCCATGTCTTGGTAAAGACTTCCGGCTGCTTGCCTATGTGCGAGCTTGACAGCGTGAAGCTTCGGGGCGAATGCATGAAGGTCTCTTTACCTTGGACACCGGGAAACGAGTTTTAGGTCACATAAACAGGTCGCATAAACCAGTCAACAGGACCTGATTCAACCAAACACAAACCATGGTGTGCCTTTTCCACTGTTTGTGGGATAAATAAGCAGCGCCCCTGGTAGTGTAGAAACCCTTTTCAAGGGAGGCTGTTTATCTCAGCGGAAAAGGCAAACTGACACAAACCCTACAGACAGTTTCTGTAGCCCAACTGGGGGAGGGATATTTGTTTGGCACAACTGAGGTCTCCACACTGGTGCCTGGCTCGGAGATTACTACTGAGGCACGAACACCCCTCCGCCATCTTTGAGGAATTTCTGGTTTGAGGGATCGATTCCCGTTTTGGGGTTTTGGCATCTCCGTTGTGGGGAGACAACCCCCCCTTTTCGCATTTGGTTAAATTTGCTGGCATCCGCACACCGACTGGGAAGGAAGCTCAAGGCGAATTCGCAAGCAGCCAGCTACCGCGAAGCTGAGCGTCGGGTGTTTTCAACCATCTCTTGACCGTTCTTGGATCATTGTCTTCTTCTTTTTTTACTGGTTTTGTTCCATTTTTCGGTACGGGGGCTAAAAAACAGTTTTCTGCCATGCCAAGGGTTGCGAAGATCTCAGAGACGAGTGGCCATGGCCGAGCTCCGCGTGCGCGCGCAGCGGCGCACGGCAGATCCGGCCAAGGGCGCGGAGCGCTTTCGGCCGCCGGAGGAGGTGGCGGAGTGGTATGCGCACCTGGACAAGGTCGGATGGCCAAAGCGGAACGCAAGCCATATATGACCTAGGTCCCCCAGCTAGGTGCCCTTTTTGCTTTGTTTTTTTTGGGGGGGGGTGTGGTTCCCCTACTCAGATAGACTAGAGAAGAAAGGGTACCCTTGTTCTAACCTCTCTACTGGAGGACCTAGATGACGGTTTTAATCCTGAGTTCCATTTACCAGGCAATTTTGGGTACCCATTGTTGACCCACAGCCATATGACAAAAGGAGCTTTTGGGTTGCAAACACAAGCACAACCAGAGTTACTTGGTTTGGTGTGCAGCTCTTCACGCAATATGGGGAATTTGACTCCCTTAAGTTGTCAGTTCGGCAGGACGGCGCGGAAGCAGTGTCATCAGCGAGCTGGTGGCGAAACTTCTTGGCGAGCGAGGGCTGGCTTTCGAATTGGCCGCTTCACGCAAAGCACCCGGAAATCCGCGAGCACCTTCACCGGGAGACCGCGCCCTTGCATTACGTCATGGGCCGCTTGAGCCCTTTCTACATCCAGCGCGCCTTCCGGACCGACCGGAGGCGTGCGGTGTGGGCGGTGTACTTGGGGCCTTACTGCTCCAACGGGGACCAGGTGACTTGGTGGCGAAGCCAGCCATCCGGATCCTTAGCCTTTTAGCTTCTTAGTGTTTAGTTGTAGTTTTCCATTTAACCCACTACAACCGTCCCCTTAGCCTTTTAGCTTCTTAGTGTTTAGTAGTTTTCCATTTAACCCACTACAACCGTCCCCTTAGCCTTTTAGCTTCTTAGTGTTTAGTGGCAGTTTTCCATTTAACCCACTACAACCGTCCCCTTAGCCTTTCAGCTTTTTAGTGTTTGGATGTGTTTGGTGGTATTCCGAATTTAACCCACTAAAAGGTCTCAACTTTTCGCGGATCAGAAATCAGGCTGCCCAGGTGATAGGCGTGGGCAACGGAGGGGCCATCGCGGCAGTGCTGGACCTGTTGACGGCTTCCCTGGCCACGATTTATGCCCAAGCTGCGACCCCCACGGCGTCTCTGCAGGTTCGCGGCTTCCTTTTTGGGAGGCTTAGGCAAAGGGCTCCCTTTTCTGTTTGGCGCAATGTTGACCCCATATGAATCAACCCCAGTTTATTCATAGAGGGTATGAACCAACCCCAGATTCTGGGTTCAGTGGGGAATCAGACCACTTTTGGAGGGCACAAACCCACCCCCATACAAAAATAAACAGGGGTTGATTTACTATGGGGTCAACATTCATACGGGGTCAACACCTCCCTCTTCTTCTTTTTTTTGTGGGGGCTTTTTTTGGGGGGTCCCCTTGTTTTTCTTCCATGGACCCCGGGGTCCGGAAACTCCAGGTGCGGATGCTGCGTCCGGCGCTGCCTTTGCCCGGGGTGTTCAAGGCTGAAGCCTGGATCGAGAGGGAGGAGGAGAGATGTCGTCCCAAAAGTTCTCACCTGAAACTGACATGAAACGATTCGATCCCCCCATAGAGGCTGTCCAGAGGTTGATTTGGAGTGCTCTCAACAGTGTACGGTTCGTTGGGTGCGGCGACCATTTTCTTGCTGGTTCGATAGGCAGGGAATGAGAAATGGAATAATCCCTAGAAACCATCCCCTATGGTTTCCTTTCAGATGGCTTTTCTTGCCGGTTCGATGAAATGGAATGACCTTCAAAAGAACCATGAAACTGGTGGTTTCCCTTGAGGTAATTCCCTTCCGGTTGATTCCCACCCGGAAGGCCATTCCCTACTGAGCACCTGCCCAGCAAGTTTGTTTTGGCCCAGGGTCACTTGCTGCGAGACGGTTCCTCAGCATGAGGCCGGAGTCACGCCCAATGAATTGGCAAGACGATCCGGCCTCGCAAGGTGATGTGAAAGGAAGATTTCGCCACCGGGGGAAAGAGAATCCATCAGGAGGGCTTCTTGTACGTCAAGGCCGAGTTTTCGGATGGCGAAGGCCTGGTCTTCGACACCTGCGAGGCCGTGCTGCGAGTGAGGCGCGCCAAGCTGTGAAGAGGCCCAGAGGCGTGAGGCGACCCTCACGCCGTGAGGGGCCGGCCGGCAGCCGCCCGGAACTGCGACATGAAGCTCGGGGAGCTGATGACCGTGGGCTCGTGGGCTCGTGGGCTCGGCGGCTCGGCCGAACGACCGAGATGTGAGGTCCAGCGACTCTCGACCGGAGCGCCTGGTGAAAGACTTGGTGCGAGTGGGAGGTTCATGCTACGCAACTCTCCCAGTTGATCTCAGTTGCCACTATATTTTTATATCTTCCTGCCAGTTTTGCGAAAGACGGTTCCTTTGGCTACCTGCTATACAGATAAATTGACTCTCGGCCTCCCTGCTGCCGTCGCAGGGTTTGCTGTTTCAGATGGCCGACGAGGAGCTCGCGGATGCCTCAGTCCCATTTGCTACAAGACTCGAGGGCCCAAATTCAACCAGTTCGCATTTTTTTTGAATCCCCCCACTTTTTTTATTCTTTTTTTTTTTGGGGGGGGGGGGTGATTGGAGCGAGGCGAGGCTTGCATGAACCCAAGGGTGGTGTGAATTGAGGACTGTGCCACCAACGGACGCCATTTGAAGGTGAGGCTCTTTGGTATCAGCCTCCTAACAACCTCGTGCATACTCCCCTGCAAATAGACCTGACCCCCTTAGAACGCCCCACTCCGGCACACAACAAATGGGTGCGGCTCAAAATTAAATTAGCTGGGGTTAAAATTAAATTAGCTGGGGGGTACGCAGGTTTTAGTCTTGCTCCCATAAACTAAGACGCCATTTTGGGTACAGTTTTTCGAGCCATATCCAAATCGAGGTCCTTTCGGGAACCCTGTCATTTCCCGTCAAAAACGGGGGTCCAAAAGCCAAAAGGTCGGCTGCAACACTCAGGTGGTCATGGCCTACGCCATGGAGCAGATCGCTGAGGCATGGGCAGCATGCGAGTGCCACCCTATTTTTCCCTTGGTTGGCAAATCGAGCGGAACGCCAGCATGGGGGGGGGTTCCAAGTCCCTATGTTGACATATGCCCTTGTGAGGTTCGCCAATGGCGTGTGTCCATTTTGGGTTTCAACACACTTTGAGGGTCCGGCCCCTTTGTTTGGACACATACCCATGTTGGCGTAGGCAGCCAGCAAGCGCCTCATCAAGGAGCTCGAAGTCAGAGACGAGCTGCGGTCAACGTGCTTTGGCAAGCCGAGCAAATCGCGCGATGGAGTTGAGGTACCTGTACTTGCGCAATCGTGTTTAGGGCTCAGACGGATGTGAGCCGAATGACGTTCTTTTGAAACCCATTTGCCGAGTATGTGTTATTCTCCCTTGTTGCTTTAAAGGGAGTCTATCACTACTGGATATATTTTTTGAGGGGGCTTAAGCCAAATGGAAGTATCTCTCTTCAACGGGAATTCGATCCCATGGCCTTGGCTGTCAACGCTCAATGGCGTCGTCTTTTCCCGGGATTCCACCAGTGGGGCCCTATCATCCGTTTGCACCCACTAGACATCTTTACGTTTTAATTTGATGTTGCAAACCAAAGGGGGTCCATGTGCATTCCAACAGCACCACAACGAGTGCGCCCTTTTCCTGTGGCCACTGGTTGTCTTAAGCAACGGATGTTGACGATCACGTGCCACAGCACGCAAGGTGTTTTGCAAACCTTCCAAGCATAGCACAGAGCAGAATCTGCATGAGTATGCTTTGGTTTTCGAACCTTTCCGTTTCCCTTTAAACCAAGTTCGAAAAAAGAAAGAAGCCAAAAGTACCCTCAGAAAAGACGCACATCCAGAAGCCGAGGGGGATGCTGTCGTGGTCTGTACATTCAGAGCTGAGGCCATGCAATATTCCAACTTCGAAGTTACCAAGCCTGGCTCAGATTGAAGCAGGCCATGCAATACAAAAGGAACAAGAGGCGGCTTGATTTCAAAGGTGTTGTATCCAAGCAAAGCATGTTACAGATGTGACTTGTTGGTGTACGTATGCACATATTTCTTTATACATATTATATTAAACATGTATTAAACAAACAAGCATACTTGCATCTATCTCCACAGAACAAGCATACCAATGCGTATATACGTATAGCTGCATTTGAAGGGTACAGCCCCCAACGCCTCATGTGCCCATTTGAGGTGCATGCACCGGCGGGAGTACTTGCAGCTCCTTGAGGGGGCTCTTAGCCACAGCTGAGTGCAAGGTGACGCATTGCGCCGGGTGATTTCGGCCGCGGTGGTTTGGGAATAAGTCAAAATTCAACCACCAGACCGCAAGTTTTAGTCCTTATTTCTTCATTTTGGGTACCTATTTTTGACCCACAGCCATTTGTCCTGGTTCACGGTGAGGCAATTGAAGACCAGATGTCCACGGCACGAATCACTTGGCACATTGCTGTGTCCCCTAATATGGGAGGCAGCGTGTACAAAGCAATCCCCTCTCTCGGCGGCACGGCACGACGGGCGAACCTGCCCGCAAAATGGGGCCGCGAGGCAAGGTGATGGCAAAGCAGGCAACACACGCTGGAGGCACCTGGAGGGACTATCCAATTCTCATGCGAAACAAACTTCAGTGGACAGACATGCCATCTTTTTCCACGGTGATTGAGGGCTTGGTCGGGTGCTGAGAATCTGGAAGCGTGTTTGCACCAACACGCGCGACCATTCCCGGCTGATTCCTGTGGCTGTTTCTAAAGCTTGGAAGCAATACTTGAACGACACATGCCCATGCCTTTGCAATCTCGTGCAGGTGTCAGCAACCATGATAAGGACGGTTTTTTTACGTTCCAAAACATCCCCGCTCTCATCAATGGCACAACTACTAACTCAAATTGCGTGATCCATTGGCCGTGATGCCGTAGCATCTGCCAAGCAAGACTCATACCAACCTCAACACTTACTCCAGCCACACCTTTTCAAATACTTTCCCCTAATGCCAACACCTCTCCCCACCGCCACAGAGCTTGCGGAAAGTCAAAGCTGAACCGTCCCTTTTGCCACTGCGCCTGATTGGGCGTTCCTTCCGGATAATGTAACCCAATCAAAGGACACCACATCTGGTGGCCCTTTTTCAAGGGCTCCCATCGGATCCGACGCTTCAAGCGATGCGGCGCGGTCTCGGTTTCGGCGCCGGCGCTGGCACCTCGTGGCTGCGGCGGCATGCGCGCCAGGCGCGGCTGGCGGCAGCAGAGTGTCGGGACTGGGCCAAGGAGCGGCAGACGCCGCTGGGCGAGCAATGACCGAGCCCAGGTGTTGGATTCGAATGAACCGGTTGCAGGGGGATTCCCTGAAAGGAAATCATAGGATGGTTGGAAGGTCGTCATTCCATTTCGCATTTGCTGAGAACGAGCAAGACACTGGTAAAACCAAACTTCACAGCCTGGTGAGTTTGCAAGAGAAGCTACACGGCGGTTGTTTTTCAACAATCCCATGGTTTTAGCTGGATAAGTCAATCCTTTATCCTTATGCCAGATGGTCATAGTTCCTCTTGGAGTGGTTTTTTGTTACCAATTCACCAACTGGTTGGGGTTGGGGAGATGGGGTTGGGTTATTGAAGGCACACTCCGAGGGGTGCCTGTCCAGTTTCTCTTGAGGTCATTTTCCTGTCAGGTGCCATAGGGCAAAAAGTGCGATCAACAGAAACCCGTTTCACCCCCCGTGAAGCAAACACCGCCCCAAACACACCGCTTGAGACTAAGATCGACCATGGGAGGTGTGTTTGGTGGGTAGGACAAGTTGTTTTTTCTGACAGTTGCACTGTTCTTCCCTACTTAGACCCTTCCGGCTCTTTGAACATGGCTTCCGAGTGCTAAGCTCAGAGATGCTTCGGTTTCATTCGGGAGGCCTGAGTTTCCAGGGAGGTTCCGGAGAAGCTTCCTTGATACTGGTTGGGCTTCTTCACGTGAGCAACGGTCCGTATTTTCTGTCATCTACTGTACCCAAGGAGAATGACGATGGGTACTCTTAGGAAATTCGCAGTGGGAATTGGGGGTTGCTCACCAAGAGCCCATGTCATAGCATGGCCCAATAAACATTGCAGGTGGCTCATGTTAAACGTCCATTTCGCATAGATCAATGTACTGCCCAATGCAGATACCATGGTTGAAAAGAGCCTCCAATGCACCACCAATCCCAACACCTGCTAGGAGCATCAGCATCCGAACCCTGGAAATATGTCACCATGTTACTAGCACCCCCCCTTTTAAGTTTGAGGAGGCAAGCCGAAGAGAAACCGACCGTCTGCCAAGGCTTCTAGGGGCCTTTCTCCTGGCGCAGCAGCGGCGGCATCGCGCGCTGCTGGCGGAGTTCCGGGCCACTCCCAGCGACCGCCTCGAGTGGCTCTGGTTCAAAGCGCGGGACGCGAACCGAAGCTTCGACCGCCGCTTCAACGCCGGCTTCGACCGGCGGCTCGGCGAGCCGGAGACGAGAGGTTTGGAGCTGGATGGATTTGGTCGGCTTTAGGGGTTTGAAGCTTGGGTGGGTGGTTTGCCTCAACATTTTTTTTTTCCGTCCACGCCAACTGGTGCAGAGAGCTTGTTCAGCCACAGCCTGGTTCTTGTAGACTTGAGATTGAAAGGGTTGCGAACCATGAACGACCTCCAAACCAACACATCAGAAATAGAAGCCAGCAAAACACGTATACCCATCCAAGTCATCCCAAGCCTCCACCCTTCATCCAACCAAAGGCCCAGACCGAAGAAACCGAAGAAACGGGAGCCGTCGAACCCGAGGGCCGTGGAGTCGCTGCAGCTCAAGGCGAAAGACCTGGGCCCGAGGCTCCAGGACGGTCCTTCTCCAGAATTAGTTCCCCTTTCCGTTCCGCTGTTTTGGGGGGGGGGTTTCCACTAACTTGTTTTTTTTTATTCTTTTTCTTTCGCTTTTTTTGGGGGTTCCCTTTGTTTTGCACCAACCATTTTTTCTGCCTTTTTGGGAGTTCCCTTTGTTTTCCACCAACCGTTTCTTTTTAAGGGGTTCCCTTTGTTTTCCACTAATTATTTGTTTTCTCCTTTTTTTTCTCGCTTTTTTGGGGGGTTCCCTTTGTTTTCCTCCAACTATGTTTCGCTTTTTTTGGGGGTTCCCTTTGTTTTCCACTAACTATTTTTCGCTTTTCGGGGTTCCCTTTGTGTTCCACTAATTATTTTTCGTTTTTTTGGGGGTTCCCTTTGTTTTCCACTAACTATATGTTTTGCTTTTTTGGGGTTCCCTTTGTTTTCCACTATCTTTTTGTTTCTCCGCTTTTTTGGGGTTTCCATTTTTTTCGGGGTTCCCTTTGTTTTCCACTAACTGTTTTTTGCTTTTTTAGGGGTTCCCTTTGCTTTCCACTAACTATGTTTCGCTTTTTCGGGGTTCCCTTTGTTTTCCACTAATTATGTTTCGCTTTTTTGGGGGTTCCCTGTATTTTCCACTAACTATGTTTCGCTTTTTTGGGGTTCCCAATTTTTCGCTCGTTTGGGGTTCCCTTTGTTTTCCACCAACATTGTTTCGCTTTTTCGGGGTTCCCTTTGTTTTCCACAAACTATTTTTCGCTTTTCTGGGGTTCCCTTTGTTTTCCGCCAACCATTTTTCGCTTTTTCGGGGTTCCCTTTGTTTTCCACTAACTAACTATTTTTCGCTTTTTCGGGGTTCCCTTTGTGTTCCACTAATTATTTTTCGTTTTTTTGGGGGTTCCCTTTGTTTTCCACAAACTATTTTTTGCTTTTTTGGGGTTCCCTTTGTTTTCCACTATCTTTTTTTTTTTCTCCGCTTTTTTGGGGTTTCCAATTTTTTCGGGGTTCCCTTTGTTTTCCACTAACTATGTTTCGCTTTTTTGGGGGTTCCCTTTGTTTTCCACTAACTATTTGTTTCGCTTTTTTGTTTTCCACTAATTATTTGTCGCTTTTTCGGGATTCCCTGCCACTAGCCATTTTTTTGCTTTTTCGGGGTTCCCTTTGTTTTCCACTAATATTTTGTTTTATCGCTTTTTTGGGGGTTCCGTTTGTTTTCCACTAACTATTTTTCGCTTTTTCGGGGTTCCTTTTCTTTTTCACCAACTGTTCTTTTGGCTTTTTTGGAGTTCCCTTTGTTTTCCACTAACTATTTTTCGCTTTTTCAGGGTTCCCTTTGTTATCCACTAACTATTTTTCGCTTTTTTGGGGTTCCCTTTGTTTTCCACCAACCATTTTTTGCTTTTTCGGTGTTCCCTTTGTTTTCCACTGATTATGTTTCGCTTTTTCGGGGGTCCCTTTGTGTTCCACTAACCGTTTTCGCTTTTTCGGGGTTCCCTTTGATTTCCACTAACCATTTTTTGCTTTTTCGGGGTTCCCTTGGTTTTCCACTAATCATTTTTCGCTTTCTCGGGGTTCCCTTTGTTTTCAACTAACCATTTTTCGCTTTTTCGGGGTTCCCTTTGTTTCCCACTGACTTTTTTTTTCTTTTCGCTTTTTTGGGGTTCCCTTTGTTTTCCACGAACCAGTTTTCGCTTTTTTGGGGTTCCCTTTGTTTTCCACTAACTATTTTCCGTTGTTTTGGGGGTTCCCTTTTGTTTTTCACTTTCTATTTTCTGTTGTTTCGGGGTTCCCTTTGTTTTCCACTAACCATTTTTCGCTTTTTCGGGGTTCTCTTTTTGCTTTCCACGAAAACCAGGCAAAAACCTCATGTTTTGGCTGGGACCCGCGGCTCCAGGACTGGCTCCAGCGCGGTCCCCGCGAGGCATCGCGCCTGGCGCAGAGTCTCTCAGGGCGCCAAAGACCCGCGCCCGGTAGCAAGGCGCGCGCGCGCAAGAGATCGATCCTAGGTCCCCCAGCAATTGGTGCCAACTTTTACCGTTTCTTTTTTGGGGGAGGGTTCCCCTAAAATAGACTGCAAACAAAAGTGGGTACCCTTTTTTTAAACACGCAAAAACTGGAGGACCTGGGATCTGAAGCGGTCGCAGTGGCCCCCGGCGCCGTGGTTCGGGAGGAATCGCAACGTAGGTTGCTAAGTTGCAAGGGTTGATCCAGGGGGTTGGGGGTCAACTGGCAGAAAAAATGGGCGGCATTGGGAAATGGATGCGATTCCCATAGGGGGAGGGGGCATCTCTCCAACTTGAGGATAGGGCACTTGAGCCTTTGTCAGGTGGTGAAGGAGAAGAAGCCGGTGGCGGCGGACGCCGGCGTGCTGGCCTTGCTGGGTGCAGGCCTGGGCTCGGCGCTGCAGGGCTTCTTCGGGCCTTTGTACCTTGACTGCTATTGGGTTGGATCTTTAGACCTTAAGTTTTTGGGTTGAAATCAAG